GGGCAGGGGCTGCGGGGTGGAAGGGAGGGTCTGGGGAAGCTCAGGGCAGGGGCTGCGGGGTGGAAGGGAGGGTCTGGGGGAGCTCAGGGCAGCAGGGCTGCAGAGGACGCCCAGGGCTGTGAGCAGGGTAAGTCCCCGACCTGTGGAGACTCTGTGGCCCCCGCCCAGGCCTGACACCCAGCAGGTACTTCACAGAAGAGCAGTGCCTGGGCAGATGGCTCCTGGGTGTGGTGGGACGTTCAGCAGCATCCTGGCCCCACATAGCCACTGCAGCTGGCTGCGCCTCGCTCCTTCCTGAGTCCTGGAAGCTGGCCCTGGATGTGGCACCTGTTGGCCCCAGCTGGCTCCAGGCCCTCAGGGAGTGTCACAGGGACTGTTCAGCTAGGGTCTGCCTGCTGCTGCTACCCCCCCAGGGAAGAAAAAGGATGGTCAGTGCAAGCCAGGGACCGCCCAGGGGCAGGAGCAGATGCAGGGGGAGTGGACGTGCCCCAAGGTCCAGCTCCACAGGGGTCGGGGGGATGGCCAGGCTCGAGGTGGGTTCCCTAGGGAGGTGCATTCTGAAGGGGACCAGCCCCCCATGCTGCGAAGGGCAGCGAGAAGGACGCAACCCCCACCAGGCCCAGCCCTTCCTTGGGGCACCAGAGGAGGGTCTCTGGGGAGGCGGCTTCGGGGCTGGGCCTGAGCTGTGGGTGGAAGGGTGTGCTCTGCGACTGAGGAGAGTTTCAGGGGCCAGCTCTGGGGTTCAGGGGTCACATGATACCAAGCTGTCACCTCAGAGAGCCACCCACAGCCCACACTGATGGTGGACCCCCAACCTCGGCCTCCCACAGCTGCAGGGTCTTCCTCCCCACCAGTTCCTAGAGAGGAGAGATGGGAGTGACAGTCCCCAGAGATGGGACAGCCAGGAGCCCAGCTCTGGGAAGCCCCCAGGGGGCTGCTTCGATCTCTCCTGGACCCTCCAGGTAACAGATGGGCTCTCAGAGCATCCCCTGCTAGCCCAGAGCTCGAGACCACAGGGGAAAAGACCCTCCCCTGACCCTAGGAGCTCTCGGGGGCACCGGGCAGCCCAGATTGCGGCCGAACCCAGCGCCAAGCAGAGAGGGCAAGAGAATGACAAGCATGGTCCCGAGGGGCCGCGGACGCATGGTCACTGCGGGAGCAGGGGTGGAGGCGGCTGCGAGTTGGACCCTGGCAGGGAGCAAGACCCAGAGGCTGGTGGAGGAAACAGGTAGAGGAAGGGGAGGCTATTGGGGCGGGGGTGGTGGTGCCAGGGGTGTGGCAGGCTCCAGGGCCCAGCTGGACACAAGCACCCAGATTCGCCTGGCCAGGCCTGGGCAGCCCAGCCTCAACCACACTAGGCATGGGCTGCCCAGAAGAGGAGCCACTCCGCCTAGGGTGGGCCCCAGAACCTGATGGGCCAGGGTCCTGTCCTGGGATTGTTCCAGAAATCAAGGCTGGAGCTTGAGACTGGGGGGCTTCCCCAGGTCTCCCACCCTGAGGGGAGAGCAGCTGGCGGTGGACACCACCCTCAGGGAGCTGAGAGGCCAGAGGTGGAGAGGGGCTGGGGGCCGGGTCTGCAGCCCCCAGGCCCCCACTGCAGCCCCCAGGCCGCCCTTGGCTGCCGGCTTAGGGCCTATCTTTAGCCACCATGGCCTCGTAGGGTGCCCTGCAGCCCCCTCTTGGCCCGGGCGAGCCCTGGAGGAGTTCTTCACTTGGATGGGTGCATGGTTTACAGTGAGGGGTTTGGCTTGCCAGCCACCGTGTGCCCCTTGGAAGCCCCTTTTTCCACCCCCAGCAGCCCTGCTCCTACCCCCGCACCCACCCCAGCAGCTAGTCCGAAGCTTCCCGTCTCCAGGGATGCTCCCAGCTCCCCTCCAGCAGAAGACCTTTCTGGAAACACCCTTAGGTTGAGCCTCTGTCCACTCCACTGGTGTAACCAACAATAGGGAGCTCCCAAGGACCCCAAAAAGGCAGACATTGTAAGGGGGAAACTGAGGCCCAAAGTGTCCAGCAAACAGTTGTTCTAGTCTCTGTGAGTTGTTCTAGCAAAAGACTGAACCTGAGGAGAGGGTCATCAGACCTCCCATTTGTCATAACCAAGGCATTCGGAAGTCATGGGTAACCTGGAGACCCACCCCTTGTGACTGGCGTCTGAAGTCAGGGCAGTCAAGGGCGACTGAGCCCTTAACCTAACCCACAAGTGAAGTGCCGGAGGCATTGTGAGTTACAGTATAGAAGAAAAACTTTCTTCCATACCCCCAGCTTCTCTGGCCTCGGGGCTCCACCTCCTTCCCAGTTCAACATCCCCTGACCCTTTTCTCATTTGGGGTAGTCGAGTCCCTGGGCTTGGCCAGTGGGCACCTTGCTCAGCTGCCAGGGACCTGCCCTTGCTAGGTGGAAGAAAAGCTGGCATCGGCCGGGCATGGTGGCTCATGCCTGTAATCTCAGCACTTTGGGAGGCTGAGGTGGGCGGATCACGAGGTCAGGAGATCGAGACTATCCTGGCTAACACGGTGAAACCCCGTCTCTACTAAAAATACAAAAAACTAGCCGGGCGAGGCGGCGGGCGCCTGTAGTCCCAGCTACTCGGGAAGCCGAGGCAGGAGAGTGGAGTGAATCCGGGAGGCAGAGCTTGCGTTGAGCGGAGATCGCTCCACTGCATTCCAGCCTGGGTGACGGAGCGAGACTCTATCTCAATAAAAAAAAAGAAAGAAAGAAAAGAAAAGCTGGCATTGCAGCACATGTCCCCAATTCCGCGCCCCCTTCCTGCTTAGAACAGCACCCAGAATCAGCTGGCGCAGCGACATCAAAGACTACGTTTCCCAGGCTCCCCTGCTGCCAGGTGTGATCACAAGACTACACTGGGCCCAGGAAGGAGGGAAGATGGAGCAGGTGACCTGGGTGGGAATTCTGGGAAGTCTCCACACAGGGGACGGATTGTGCCCTGCTCTCCTTTGCTTCTGCCTCATTCCTGGAACACAGATGTAAAAGCTGGAGCTCAAGTTGCCACCCAGGACCATGAGGTAAGGCTGGGGGCTTCCCATGGTTGTGGGGCTGTCGTGCCAGCCCTGAGAGAAAGGAAACCCTGTGGATTAGGTGGGTTAGGCACAGTCGTCTGGGGTTTCTGGGGTCACAGGCAGCCTGTCCTGGGCCTCACTAGGACACACTATGACTGTTGAAACCATGACTCATGATGCACACTGGGAGTATACCCTGGTCAAAGGAACAGGCGTTGGCAACAAGGAGTTTCAGAATTATCCAGTTCTTGGGTTGACACTTCTCAAAAGCCCCTATCTTCCCCTGCCTCTTCTGTCTCAGGGAGGCCCTCTTCAAAACTTCCCTAAAAATCCCTTCCCTGGCTTAAACCTGGGGCCTCTTGCCTTCTCACCAGAGCAGCTGTCCCCCCACAGAAACCCCAGGACACCTCTGCCTTTCCTCTTCCCACTTGGCCTGTCATCTGGTCCGCATCCCCGGCTTGCATCACCAACACCCAGGGGTGGGAGAGGCCAGGACAGAGCCCTCCTCCAAGGGAGTGAGCAAGGAGTCAGAAAAGGCTGGGAAGACTTCTTCTGAGGGATGGAGTCACCATCCGAGCAGAGGGGTCCGGTGAGGCGTGAATACACAGACACACCTGATGCAGGGGGCTCCGTGACTGGAAACTGACACACGGGATTTGCCCTATAATCGTCAGCACAGAGGCAGAGTAGGTGACTTGTCAAATCTGGGACAATTTGAGCATCATCAAGAACAATGACTAGGGGCCAGGCATTGTCCCAGCACTTTGGGAGGCTGAGGCGGGCAGATCACCTGAGGTTGGGAGTTCAAGACCGGCCTGACCAACATGGTGAAACCCTGTCTCTACTAAAAATACAAAAATTAGCTGGGCGTGGTGGTGTGTGCATGTAATCCCAGCTACATGGGAGGCTGAGGCAAGAGAATCGCTTGAACCTGGGAGACAGAGGTTGCAGTGAGCTGAGATTGCGCCATTGCACTCCAGCCTGGTCGACAAGAGCGAAACTCTACTACTCCTCATCCTCCAGAGAAACCCTGGGTGTCCTCCAGTGCATGGCTGAGGCCAGCCAGCGTCTCAGGGCTCGGGGAAGTGCCTGCCATGACCTTTCAAGTCCACGCTGCACTCTGGTGTTTGCTTTGCCTTCTAATGTGCCCCTAGACTGAGAGTGACTTGAAGCGGGGCATGTGGCGGGGCCCCCCTGGCCCGGTGCCAGTGTGGCCCATGGAACATGCTTCATAAATCTAAAGGAGCCACTGGGCGTTGGACTGGGAGGGGTGTGCCTATGCCAGGCCTGGCCCCCAATCCCAGGCCCACATCCTGAGGGCCACCACATGGTCACCACCCCCAGTGCCTGAGCCTTCCCTAGGGCCGTCCTCCTTAGGATCTGGGCATCTGCCCGCCACACCTGTTGTCCTGGGAAGCTGGGAGGCCTGGGGCCCCCACTCTCAAAGCCTAGCCTTCCGGCCACTGTCTCTCTACAGTTACAGAGCAAAGACCCCACCACCACCCCCGCTACCGTCACCAGAGGAGCAGCCCTGCAGGCCCACACAGTGTGGTCACACCTCGCTTGGGAGACAGCCGCACCCCACATGCAAGGTAGCCCTTGGGAACTTCTGCTCCACACCCACCAGGTGGGGAAGGTCAGAGCTGGCTGTTCAGGGCGTTTTAGTGCCAGACAAAAGCAAGGCCCTGTGGCTGCCCGGGAGGTGGAGCAGGCCACACTGGCCCCATGCACAGGGGCTCTTTGGGTCCTTGGTCCCATCCTCCCAGCTCTTTCCAACTTTGCCCCCCGGACATTTCTTGCTCTGACCCTCGCCTCCCTTATTCCTGGCCTTGTCTCCCCTGGGCCCAGGTCGTCCCAGACTGACTGGACAGGTTAGCAAATCACCAGCTTTGGCTTCTGGAGGGTCCAGATGGGCCAGGAGAAAGGCCGGTGAACCCACTGGACAGCAGGGTGGTTTCTGATGCACACATCAGGATGTGAAGTTGCGCCCCGTGTCTGCAGCTTGGACCTCACCACTGCTGTGTCTGGGCCACAGGGAGCTGTTCTGATGCGTGACTCAGCCGTGGGCTGCTCTGGCGACTTCCTGTCTGAAACCTGCTCTCCTGTCGGTGAGGGGTTCTCTGGGTATGAATCACTTTGCCGGGGTCAGAGCAGGGAGAGCCAGCTCCCTGACGGACTTCTCAGAGACAACACCCAGGTGCTGCACGGCCTGAGGCAGCCCCCACTGGTCCTGGAGGCCTGGTAGGAAGAAGCGGGGCTGGTCCACACCCCCAGGCTCCTGCCTGTCCTCCACCCCAGCCTGGCTTCTCCACATGGCAGGGGTAGGGGAGCTGGTACACGGCTGCCAACCCCCCAGCTCATGCCCACAGCTCCTGCCACCCAAGAGGCCCAACTTTCCTTTCCCAGAACCCAGTGAAGGACCCAAAGAGAGGATTCCGCTGACCTCACTTGAATCAGCTATTCCTTGACTGCCTGGCAAAGGCCAGAAGGCATAGAGGGTGACAATGGCCTGAGCTGGGTCCGGGTGCCACTCCTGGACCCCTCAGCTGGGGGTGCAGAGGAGCCCCGGTGAACATGACAGACCATCCAGTGGGGCGCAGGAGGAGGCAGGTCCCAGGGAGCTGCTGGGACCACCGACAGGAACCCACAGCTATCCCTGGCCATCACCCCCGCTGGCCTGATGTGGGCTCTGCCTATTGCTGCTCTGAGGGTGGGGCTGCCCTGGCCCAAAGACCCGGGAGGCCAGTGACCCCATGAGCAGCGGCCTGTGGAGGCACGTGTTTGCACCAGATCCCCTAGAGGATCACAGCCCTCTAGGCAAGTGTTTCTGGAAAGCCAAGGTGGACCCTGCCCTGAGACCTGCGCCTCCCGGCCAGGGCAGTGGAGAAGTCCAACTTTCCAGGGATTCCACTGCCATCCACACAAAACCCTCTGAAATCGCTGTTAAGAGGCAGCCTCCAGCCATGCGGTCCTGCAGCAGGGGGCAGCTGTGATCCACGTGTCTGGGGGAAAGTGCAGACTAGGGGCTCAGCCTCCACCGGGCTCTCCTGGCCGTGGGCGCACCCACCCAGGACGGTGGCTGTCTTCACTCAATGACCGTCCCTGCTGCAGTGCTGGGCAGTGTCACTTGGAGACATTTGTGGTCCCCAGCTGCTTCCCCCAGCCCAGCCCTGTCCCCTCTGCTGAAACAGCCTGGTTTGGATGGAGCTTGGCAGGCTCGGGAGTGGGCACCTGGTGGGGGGGTCTGTGCCCTGAAACCCAGAAGCAGCTAGGAGGTGAGTGGGGTTGTGGGTGCTGTCCACAGCCAGCTGGCGTTTTCTAAGGAAACTGGGCCCACCACAGCCGGGAGCCCCACAGTGAGGGGGACCGTCCCAGGCCACTCTGCCTGCCCACCCTGCAGTTCCCACAGGGCCCCTCACAGAGAAGCCCACCTGCAGGGCCCCTGGGCCAGGCCAGGCTTGGTTCTGGATGCAGGAGGGGTTGAGGTAGGGCTAGGGGAGGAATGTGGAGTGTGCGGTCGGCTGTTCTTCCCACATGGCCCTGCCCCAGGAAGGGGGAGGCGGGGAGATGAGGGCGCTTGTGTGCAGTGGCTGTGCTGAGCCTTCCAGGACATGCAGGTGCCATCCTGGTCCCGGGGCTGCAGTGGGCACACTCGGCCTCTCCACTCCTGGCACCCCGGACAAGGACTACTGGGAGGACACAGCCTCTGGGAAGTCACCCTGCTCCGTGCTTGCCTGGCCCGAGAGCTGGCAACACGAGACCTGAGCTGCAGAGGAGCTGGATTTTGTCTTTCCAGGGCCCCTCCCTGCCACGTGTCCTGCCTTGCCTGTCTGGAGACAGCCGCCGAGCCGCGCCAGGCCCTAGCCCCTGCCTGGGAGCTCCTGAGTGAGTGGAGCCTGGCTCTGGTGCTGTTATTGCCAACAGAGGTAAGTCTGGGGTTTCCTGCCACTCCCACCCCCAGGAAGATGACGAGACCACACTGTCATCACCAGTGAGATACCCCAGCCCGGGTTGGCTAACCCCAAGCTCAGCCCTGTTTGTGGTTAGGGGAGTTCTAGAGAGAACATAATTGGACCCCTGCTACTTCCTGAAACCTCAGCTAGGACTGCAGGGAGGGGTGTGAGGCCAGCCGCACAGGCGGGGCCCTGGGTAAGTAGCTGGGCTCTGCGCACTGGGGAGTGGGCCTGGGGGCTCAGGCCCTGGGATGGGGCTGGGGGCTGGGAGCTGGAGGGGGGCAGAGGGGGATCTGAAGGCAAAGGTGATTTGTTGGTAAAAATGGAGGCTTTGTTGAGGGTTCTTAATCTGGGGTCCCTCCCAAGAGATAACCCAGGACCCCCAGTGACCACAGATGTGATGGAGGTAGAGGATTTGGGGGAGAGGGACAATCGCTTCCATTGTACCTTTGTCACCGCCACCTTCCTGGAGACTTTCTTCTGGAAAAGGCTTCCCTGGCTACTGGGCCAGATGGTGGTGAGTCAGGGGGCTGGACTTGTCCCTGGAATCTCTCCTTGGCCACTTGCTTCCATGATTGGTGGGGGGCACTGAAGGGCCAGGCTTCTCTCTGTGGGGCCTGTGCTGCTTGTGGGGTTACACAGAGGGAGAAGCAGGGCAGTGGGGGCTGTGCTGGGGTGAGTGGCAGTTGGCCCAGTCACGTGACAAGATCCTGGGTCTGGGCAGGTTACCGGCCTCTGGGTTGGTATCCGGCACATAGGGTAGAGCAGGGGGCCATACATTCTGTCAAGTGCATGACATGGGTCTGCACCACTGCAAGGGGCTGGGACTGACCACTGAAGACCGGCCAGTTGGGCTGAGCACAAAATGATGTTTCAGAAGATTGGCCAGGCCTAGGTAGGAGGGCAGAGGCTCCTGGAAGGAGTTGAGGATAAGGGCTGGGCACAGGGGCTCACACCTGTAATCCCAGCACTTTGGGAGGCCGAGGCAGGTGGATTACCTGAGGTCAGGAGTTCGAGGCCAGCCCGGCCAACATGGTGAAACCCTGTCTCTACTAAAAATACAAAAATTAGCCAGGTGTGGTCGCACACGCCTGGAATCCCAGCTACTCAGGAGGCTGGGGCAGGAGAATTGCTTGAGCCCTGGAGACGGAGGTTGCAGTGAGCCGAGATCATGCCATTGCATTCCTACCTGGGTGACAGAGCGAGACTCGTCTCAAAAAAAAAAAAAAAAAGAAGAAAAAAAGATAAGAATAGGGATAGGATAAGATGAGATGGAATAAGATAAGAACTCAGAGTGCCTGAAAGACTCACCTCACCAGCAGTCAAATAAACGCAAATGGGTCTCTGAAAGATACATTTAAAAAATCTATCAAACTGGGGCCAGGCGCAGTGGCTCACGCTTGTAATCCCAGCACTTTGGGAGGCCAAGGTGGCCGGATCACTTGAGGTCAGGAGTTCGAGACCAGCCTGACCAACACGGTGAAATCCCGTCTCTACTAAAAATACAAAAATTAGCTGGGTGTGGTGACACACGTCTGTAATCCCAGCTACTTGGGAGGCTGAGGCGGGAGAATTTGAACCCGGGAGGCGGAGCTTGCAGTGAGCCAAGATTGGGCCATTGCACTCCAGCCTGGGCAACAAGAGCAAACCTCCGTCTCAAAAAAAGAGAATCTATCAAATTGGGAAAAATAAGAAAGTTGACTCTGGGATTTGGACGGGCATGGTGGAGCAGGGAGGTTGGAGCTGGTGACTCAACATTTCCCTCCCTAGGGTTTGTCTCAAACGTGACGGCAGAAACGAGGTCACAGTGAAAGACGGAAATGGCTAGAAATGGCCAGCAACCGTGAAACAGCTTAGAAATTACAGGGAATCCAGCCGGGTGCAGTGGCTCACGCCTGTAATCCCAGCACTTTGGTAGGCTGAGGCGGGTGGATCACCTGAGGTCAGGAGTTCAAGACCAGCCTAACCAATATGGTGAAACCCCGTCTCTACTAAAAATATAAAATTAGCCTGGCGTGGTGGCACATTCCTGTAATCGCAGCTACTCGGGAGGCTGAGGCAGGAGAATCACTTAAACCCAGGAGGCGGAGGTTGCAGTGAGCCGAGATCGTGCCATTGCACTCCAGCCTGGGAAACGAGAGCGAAACTCCATCTCAAAAAATAAAGAAAGAAAGAAATTACAGACAATCCACAAGACAGACCTCAGCAGCCTGAGGAGCTGTTTTTGGCACACAGGATGGAATGAGGAACTGCTCCCCGCACATGGCAGGGGTCAGGGCTACTTCTCCGTCCTTTTGTGTCTGTCTGAAAAGTTTCATAATAAAAAGCTACAAAATAGGTCGGGCGTGTGGTGGTTCACGCCTGTAATCCCAGCACTTTGGGAGCCCGAGGGGGACGGATCAGCTGAGGTCAGGAGTTCAAGGCCATCCTGACCAATATGTGAAACCCCGTCTCTATTAAAAATACAAAAAATTAGCCAGGCGTGGTGGCGGGCACCTGTAATCCCAGCTACTCGGGAGGCTGAGGCAGGAGAATCACTTGAACTCCGGAGGCGGAGGTTGCAGTGAGCCGAGATTGTGCCATTGCACTCCAACCTGGGCAACAAGAGCGAAACTCCACCTCAAAAAAAAAAAAGTTACAAAATAGATTTTAAAAGACTGGAGGAGCACAGCAACTGCAGGCCAGAGAGCTCCAGGGACAGTGACTGGGTGAGGTCACGCTAGATCCTGTTATTGGAATGTCCACCCCAGCCGCGTGTGGCGCTTCTCTAATCTGGAAAATGGATTCATTGGCCAGGTGTGGTGACTCACGCCTGTAATCCCAGCACTTTGGGAGGCTGAGGCAGGAGGATAATTTGAGCCCAGGAGTTCGAGACCTGCCTAGGCAACATGGCGAAACCCTATTTCTATTAAAAATACAAAAAATTAGCTGGACATGGTGGTGTGCCTGTAGTCCCAGCCACTCGGGAGGCTGAGGCGGGAGAATCGCTTGAACCTGGAAGGTAGAGGCTTCAGTGAGCCAAGATCATGCCACTTTACTCCAGCCTGGGTGGCAGAGCAAGACTCCATCTTAAAAAAAAAAAAAAAAGAAAAGAAAAGGCAAAAGAAAAAGAGAAAGAATGAACGTGGGTTCGTGGAAGAAGCACGGAAAGTGCGAGGCAGAGCAGCCTCGGAGCCTGCCCACTAAGAGCAGGAGAGAGGCGGGTTGGACACTGGAGAGAGAAGTCCAGAGAGCAGTGGAGGGCTGGCCTCAGTGGGCTGCCAAGGTGTGGCTTGAAGATGGAGCTGAACAGGGACGCATTTGCCCAGCATGGAGGCTGGGAGATGAGGGGCTTGGTCATTTGCTGAGGGGAGGTGGAGGCAGGGGCCCAGGGCCAGCAGGGGTGGGAGATGCAGCTGGAGCTCAGGGGTGGGTGGACGGGGGTGTCAGGCTGACCTGGGCCCACCCACACTGTGGCCTTGTGGCTGGAGTCATCCGAGGGACCTCACCATGGCCATCATGTCTGGCCACGCTGCTCTGAATCCAGGTAGAGTTGGACGGTGATAAGGGGGCTTCAGCCTGTCACAGTCCCTCAGAGCAGACCAAAAATAGAGTTCCCCAGAGTCCACCAGGCCAGGCTGGCATTGTTGGTGCTGTGAGCATGGTGAGCTGTCCCCTACCCGAGCCTCCGGCGGGCTGGGGGCACCTTGCTGCCGTTTCAGGAGTGAAAGTCTGCACTGGGCGCCTTTCCCACAGGGCTTGGTCGCTCCCACCCATCCCACAGCTGAGAGGAGCCCCACCAGTGGGCCAGACAGCTGGGGCAATGAGAGGAAGGGGCGGTCTCCATGCACAGCCCAGGCAGGGCTTCCCCCACCCCAGGAGGGCGGCGCCTGCTTCCTGAGTGGAACAACACAGGAAACCTCTGCCTGGCCTTGTCCTTCCACTTGAAGACCCAGCCCCAGGGGAAGCTGAGAGAGGACCTGGGCCCCACTGCACCCTCCCCAGAAAGAGTAGTGCCTGAAATGTGGGCAGCCTGCTCTAACCCATGCCCCTTTCTGTGGAGGAAACAGCCCTGGCCCCGGGCCAGGACAGACCACTACACTGCAGCTGGCGGGTGGGGCCACTGGGCTGGCCGGAGAGAGGGCCCAGAGCCCCTATCCTGAGCTCACTCACCTTGAGGGGAGGCAGAGGCTCCCCGAGGCAGTAGGAGTAGCAAGTGTGGCAAACTGATGGTGAGCAGGTGCTGGCGGGACCCCGGACTCTAGTCCAGGAAGGCCCTCAGAAGAGGCCGGTGGGCTGCCTGAGGCTGTGGACCTGTCCGGCAGGGAATGCCAGACAAAGCTTGAATGTGTTCTGAGAAGTGAAGAGCTGGTGCAGGGCTCCCCTGACGCCCAAGCCTGGTTGGCCATGCGTGGTGAGGAGCTGGACCTCGGTGCGAGCGAGTTGGGACATCCAGTGGGCCCAGCTCTCTGGCTGCCCTGCCCTGGGTGGGTCCCACCAGGCCTCCTGCTGGGCCCACTGACTCTTTCCAGGCATCCTCGCCAGGCTGTCGGTGCCCAAAGGTCAGGCACGTGGCGGGATCTGGACATCAGCAGCTCGAGCCACATGGGCCACACGGGACCAGTTGGATGGGAAGGTGGCTCCGGCTCCTGCCCCTGGCTAGTCTCTGCTCTCAACATACAGGCCTGGAGCCCAGAGGGGCCTCTTTGTGACAGCCTCTGCCTGGAGCTGGGCCAGGAGGGGAATGTGCATTTTCACTTCAGCTACCACTTCCTTTGATTTTGCAGAAGTGCTTGCAGCCCTCTGCCCCAGGGTTGCTGGCTGGCATCGGGGTGACCGGGCGGCACAGCCCTGGACCAGCAAGAGCTCATCTTCCCAGGTCTGGGAGGATTTCCAGAACCCTTGGTCCAGTTAAAGGCAGACTCCCCGGGAGCCCCTTCCTGGGCGGCTCAGTCATTCTGATGGGGTCCAGGGGCCTCAGGCAGCAGCTCCGTGTGCTCACTCCAGCTCATTTGACAGGAGAGGTCCCTGTCTGGTGTTATTCAGAATTTGAAAGGTGGGGAGGGGGCGGCTGCAGAATCGGAGTAGACACCAGCGAGCAAAAGTATGCGGGCTTCTAGGGCCCCTGAAGCGGGGCTCGGCAGCTGAGGAGGGAAGCCAGGCCCAGTGTGAGGCTGGTGGGGCCCCCCACACCCCTGGGGCTCAGAAGGAACTGGACTGGTCGCAGGTGGCTCTGGCGTGTCCTCAGACAACTCGGCCCCCCTGCCTGGCTGGGGGTCTACCTTCCTTGACCCTTCTGGTTCCACTCACTGCTTCGTCACCTACTGACCCCCTCTGTTTTGGGCATGGCCAGAGAGCCCTGCATCTCTTGCTGGACCTTGGAGCTGCGCGCAGCAGCCAGACGACAGGGCCACACAGATCTTAGCAGAGCAGCAGCCGGGAGGGCAGCATCCAGCACACAGGCACCCGAGGGAGAGTCTGAAGACCCTCAGCGCTGCCCCACCATTTCCACTCAGGGGGCTGGCCCGAGATGCCGGGAGCAGTGCATATTTATTCCAGCCATTGGGAGGGTGGGGGCAGAATGGGTAGCCCAGGAACCCCTCCAGCCCACACCACCCACCGCCAAGGGGGCATCACTTTGGAGATGGCTTTTCTGGATTCTTTCCTGACTCAGTGTCTCATTTTTTAATGTGTTTTCAAGGTATTGCTTTACATTCTCCATGAGTTAACGAGCTTCCTGTAGTCGTGGCTTCCTGTTTTCCAGTTGTTAAAAAATGACGAGACAAGTCTCAATCATTTTAGGAGTTTTATTTGCTGAAGTTGAGGCCACGCATCCGTGACACAGCCTCAGGAAGTCCTGATGACATGCCCAGGGTGATCAGGCACAGCCTGGTTTCATGCATTTTAGGGAGACAAGAGACATCAGTCAATATATGTGAGACGTACATTGGTTCCGTCCAGAAAGGTGGGGACAACTCGAAGCAGGGAGGGGGCTTCCCAACTATCTGTCTCTCACCTACCTGTGGGAAGGTCACAGGTAGGTGGGAGACAAATGGTTGATTATTTTCAGTTTCTGATAAGTCTTTCCAAAGGAGGCCATCAGAATATGCATCTGTCTCAGTGAGCAGAGGGATGACTTTGAATAGAACGGAAGGCAGATCGGCCCTGAGCAGTTCTCAGCTTGAAGGGGCCGGAGATACTTTTCTTTAACAGAAATATACTTGAAAGGGCAGCTGGGGATGTCAACACACAGGCAGCCCTACCTGCTGGCCCAGAGCCCTTGGTGTGGGTGTGCCTGGTTTCTGCCTCACTTTCGAGCAGCTTCCAGAGAATTCTTGCAAGAGCCATGTGGGACGGGTGGGAAGAGCAAATGGCTCCAGGGAGCGCCTCTGGCCAGCCTCTCAACATACAAGCCTCAGGCCCAAAGGGGCCTTGCTGTGTAGGGGCTCTGCCTGTAGCTGGGGCCTGGCCCTGCCCTTTGAGGGGAGTGTGTCCCAGGGGACTGACTGCACCTGCTGGCTTCCCATGAGGGTCTCGGCTGACAGAGGGCAGTACCAGGCAGCATGGGGTGGGGGTCGGGCCTGGTACTATGCAGGCAGGATTGGAGTTAGTGAGGCAGCTCAGCCTCCATCCCTGCACTGCAGGGCCCGGAAACAGCAGAGGGAGACCCTCAGGCTTTGCAGGGCTTTGGGAGAGGCACAAACACCATCTGAGAATGGGTTCAGGGCACTCTCCTCCCTGCAAGCCCTCTTTGGCTGGTCAGGGTGGTGCCTGTTTTAGAGGCACCTCAGGTTAGGGAAGGAAGCAGAGGGACAGGCCCCTGGATGCCCTGCACCATCCCCCTGCGTGCCCTGAGCCATCTGCTGCCCACCCGCCATGCCTCCCTCCTCCGGGCCCCTCATGCCGTGGGTGACACAGCTTCCAGGCCATGTGCACGTCACACCTCGGGTAGCCAGGAAAAATTCCTAGAAGCAGTTTATCCAGGTCAAAAGTTAAGCACATTTAAGATTTTTGGAAACATGTTGCAAAATTTTGCAACATCAGTCCCGTGTAAGGATACCCACTGCCTACTCTCAAACACTATGAGTTTAAAAGTTCTTTATTTTTGCCAACATGATAAGCCAAAAATATTTTAAAAGGCTGTCTTTCAGATATTCATGTTTGCATTTCTTTGATTAGAAGTGGAGTTGAGCATTTTTCAGATTTTAGGAGCTTTTTCTTTTTGGGACGGGGTCTCTCCCTGTAGCCTAGGCTGGAGTGCAGCAACGCAATCACAGCTCACGGCACCCCTACCTCCTGGGCTCAAGCGATCCTCCCAACTCAGCCTCCTGAGTAGCTGGGACTACACGTGTGCACCATCATACCTGTTGATATTTTTGTAGGTATGGGATGTTACTATATTGCCCAGGCTGGTCTTGAACTCCTGGACTCTAGCAATCCTCCCACCTCAGCCTCTCAAAGTGCTGGGACTTACAGGCACGAGTTACCACACTGGGCCTTTAGGGGCTATTTTTATGTCTTCTGTGAAAGCTCATCAACTTTCTTTTCTCTCCCAGCTTTATAAAGGTATAATTGACAAGCAACAACAGTACATAGGCCAGGTGCGGTGGCTCACGCCTGTAATCCCAGCACTTTGGGAGGCCGAGGTGGGTAGATCATTTGAGGTCAGGAGTTTGAGACCAGCCTGCCCAACATGGTGAGACCCTCGTCTCTACTAAAAATACAAAAATTAGCTGGGTATGGTGGCAGGCGACTGTAGTCCCAGCTACTCAGGAGGCTGCACAGGAGAATAGTTTGAACCCAGGAGGCAGAGGTTGCAGTGAGCCGAGATTGCGCCACTGCACTCCAGCCTGGATGACAGAGCAAGACTCCATCTCAAAAAAAAAAAAAAAAAAAGAATCGTACATAGTCGCAGTGCCTGATGTGATGTTTGGATGCCTGTTGGCTTGGAACCTTGCTTGTATTTATCCCATGGGATGCAACGGCAGATCCTTAACACTTAAAAAACACCTGCACGTTGTGCACATGTACCCTAGAACTTAAAGTATAATAAATAAATAAATAGTAAAAAAAAAAAAAACACATACAAATCAACGGGGCACTTAGTAAATTAGTAAATACTCACTAGCCATTTTGTCAATGGGTTAACTTGTCATTTAATCTGATTTCCCTAAAGCAATTTCAACCTACTCTTTCTCCAGGTCATTTTAAACTCTCAGAGTGAACGTCTTGATAGGACCGACAAGACGCATGACATGTACTTAGAAAGCTTATCTTAGAGCCACACTGAGATTGGAGCCTGCAAAATATGCCAGGTGAGAGAGCCGTCTCCAACTTTGAACATGTGAGAGGAAGCCCATGAGAATTTTTCTATGAAGCATGATGTCTCATAATTCAAAAATTAACACATAAAAATAGATTATCGAGATAAAAATTAGCTCAACAATAATAAATCTAGAGGTGCTACGTGGAGAAATGAAGGGCTGATTTCGTAATTCTTTTGTGAAGTTCTGGGAAGCCAGGAATGGGAATGAGAGCATAGTTGGTGGCTCCTGGGAGGGCGACGCAGTACTGAGTCAGGGGGCTGTCCCACAAGTCCCAAGGGAGCCCTGCATGGTCCAGGCCATGAGGAGCTGACCAGCAGCTCCCCCTGATTCATGCGTCTCCTGGTGCCGTTGCTCCTACTTCTGACCTGCCAGGAAGACTCTCTTCCCAGGAGGTCACTTGTGGCAGGAAGCAGGGGAGTGGGGGACATCCTCCTCACCAGATGGGCACAGAGCCACAGACACCACGGACCTGGTGTCCAGAGGTGAAGGTCCCAAGGCTGCGTGAGGCCTGGAGCAGGGGGTGTGGGACTGAGGGACACTGAGGCCCTGACTGAGACTACACGGAGGAGACAGTCTGTGGGGCGGGGGAGCCCTAGGAAGTCGGGGAGGGGCCGGACCAGAGCGGCTCTTGCAGGCTGAAGCTGGAGCGGCCCCTCTGGCCACCCACCGGGGTCTTGCCTGTGTCTCCCCTTGTGTTTTGGATTCTGGCTCTGCCTGCCAGGCGTGTGATTGTCATGAAAGAGACGGGCCTGTGTCGGGGCCAGAAACTGCCTCTGAGCTCAGGACTCGCACAGCGAGGCTGGGGCGCTCGTTTGATGGGGAAAGAGCCGTCTGGGTGAAGAACAGTGAGTGCAGACACGGGCGTGGGGCCTCCCACCTGAGAACTGTCTTCACTGCCCCCCGCCGCCCGCCACAGCCCTGTGTCTTGGGCGAAGTGGTGACAACTGGGTGTGAGACAGCCCAGTCATACCCACTCTCTCCCTCTGCCCAGGGAGGAAGGTGAGCAAGGGCCACGACACTCACACCCGGAGAAACCCAACAAGCGCAGCAAGGCTGTGGGGAGACCGGAGCCCTGCACACCGCCGGCAAAGGTGGGCCGGCGCGGCCACTGTGGAGAACAGCGCGGACAGACGCCCCAGAAGATGAGACGAAACTGCCATGAAATCCAGCAACGCCAACTGTGGGTCTGACCCAGGAGAACGGAAAGCAGGGATGTGAACAGACCTCCTTGTGTTCTTAACACCGTTATTCTCAGCAGCTCAGCTAAGGCTCAGAGGCAGCCGAGCGTCTGTCAGCAGAGTCATGGATGAGCAGAACACGGCACAAGCCACGTTTGGAGGATTGTTCACAATGGAAGGGCACAATGGAATATATATATATAATTTTTTTTTTTTTTGGTGAGACCCTGGAGGACACACTGAATACAATGGAATACCGTCCTGCCTTTGAAAGGAAGGGAAATCCTGGCACACGCTGCAACGGGAGGGAGCTTGAGGACATCGTGGCGAGTGGAGCAAGTGAGACATGGAACGACACACGCTGAGGACACGCACAGATACCCACCCAGGTGGGGAGGTGACGGGGGAGCCCAGCACACAGAGACAAAGTGGAATGGAGGCCTGGGGGCTGGGAGCGAATGCGGAGTGAGTGCTTCCTGGGGCAGAGTCTCTGTTTGGGAAGATGAGAAGGTTCTGCCGACGGATGTTGGCGACGGTGGCAGAAGAATGTGAACGTGCCCAGTGCTGCTGAAAAGCGGTTACAATGGCAAATTCCTTGTTATGTGTATTTTGCCACAATTTTCCACTTTTTCAATTTTTTTTCCTTGAGATTGAGTCTCACTCTATCACCCAGGCTGGAGTGTAGTGGCACAATCTCGGCTCACTGCAGCTTCTGCCTCCCAGGTTCAAGGGATTCTCCTGCATCAGCCTCCCAAGTAGCTGGGATTACAGGTGTCCGCCACCATGCCTGGCTAATTTTTGTATTTTTAGTACAGATGGGATTTCACCATGTTGGTCAGGCTGGTCTGGAACTCCAGACCACAGGTGATCCACCTGCCTTGTCCTTCCAAAGAGTTGGCATTAAAGGCATGAACGGCCCGTGGGGCCAATTTTTTTTTTTTTTTGAGATGGAGTCTCGCTCTGTTGCCGAAGCTGGAGTGCAGTGGCACAATCTCTACCTCCCAGGTTCATGCCATTCTCCTGCCTCAGCCTCCCGAGTAACTGGGACTACAGACAACTGCCACCATGCCTGGCTAACTTTTGTATTTTTAGTAGAGACAAGGTTTCACCAGGTTGGCCAGGCTGGTCTCGAACTCCTGACCTCGGGTGATCTGCCCGCCTTGGCGTCCCAAAGTGCTGGGATTACAGGCATGAGCCACCACGCCCAGCTGAATTTTTTAAATGCACAAAAACAAGTGGCCTGGTGCAGTGGCGTGACTTCCCAGAGCTCTGCCAGCACTGTCGGCTCCAGTGTCCTGGCTGCCCACTCCAGCTGAGTTCATGCTTCTGGGCCTTCTGTGGCTACAGATCATGGAACCTCCAGATCAGCAGGAAGCGGCGACAGACCTGGCCTCAGCACCCGAAGGATGGACAGAGCGTTGCCACGCTTCTCAGGTGGCAGCAGCCCCAGGCGGGGCAAACTTCAGCTGTGCCCTGGCGCGAGGTCGGGGGTCCCTGGGCACCATCCAGCTCCCTCGAGGTCAGGGGTCCCTGGGTACCGTCCAGCCCCTTGGCCTCAGGAACCTTCCACTCGCGGATGCGTGACCTCTAGCAACCCTCTGGCTGGAGAGGAAGAGTTTCTGACCTTGGAGAGCTGTGTTTGAGGCAGGTTGCTGAGATAACTTTGATCTTCTTTTCTTTTGCCCTCTCCCACATTTAAGGACTTTTTTGACTCCATTGGGCCCACCAGATAGTCCAGAATAATCTCTTTATTTTACTGTCAGCTAGTTAGCAATCTTCATTCAACTTGCAACCTTAGTTCCCCTTTGCCATGTAACCTACCATATCTACATGTCCCAAGGATGAGGATTCAGACTTCTTTTGGGTGGGGTCTTTATTCTGCCTGCCACCAAGATGAGGAGTATCACATGACATAGTAATAAGAAGATCAATTCACCAAGAAGACAGAACCATTTGTGACTCCTATGCCCCAATTAACAATAGCTTCAAATACATAAAGCAAGCATTGAGAGAATACAAGGAGAAGTGGACACATCCACCACCCCTGCAGGAATTTTTAATTGTCTTTTTTAGTAATTGATAGTTCACACAGCCAGAGATGTGGTAAGACTACAGATTAGCCAGGCGCAGTGGCTCACGCCTGTAATCCCAGCACTTTGGGAGGCCAAGGAGGGCAGATAACCTGAGGTCGGGAGTTCAAGACCAGCCTGACCAACATGGAGAAACCTCATCTCTACTAAAAATACAAAATTAGCCGGCCTTGGTGGTGCATGCCTGCAATCGCAGCTACACAGGAGGCTGAGGCAGGAGAATCCCTTGAACCCGGGAGGTGGAGGTTGCAGTGAGCTGTGATCGCACTATTGCACTCCAGCCTGGGCAACAGAACGAGAGACTCCATCTCAAAAAAAAACAACAACAACAACAACAACAACTACAGATTAGGAATTAGGATGCCCAGCTATGGGACCCAGCTATGGGGCCAGGTGGGGAGTGGAGGTAAAGTGGGAACAGCTCTGGAAGGGTGTGTGTGGTAGCAGCGCCTAACAGACTGCTTAGAAGAGCACTCACACAGCAATTACAGGATCAACATTATTTTCAAACACACAAGCAACTTTTTTTTTTTTTTTTTGAGACAGAGTCTCACTCTTGTTACCCAGGCTGGAGTACAGCAGCATGATCTGAGCTCACTGCAACCTCCGCCTCCCGGGTTCAAGTGATTCTCCTGCCTCAGCCTCCCGAGTAGCTGGGATTACAGGTTGAGCCAGCACGCCCAACTAATTTTTTAAATTTTTTAGTAGAGACAGGGTTTCTCCATGTTGGCCAGGTTGGTCTCAAACTCCTGACCTCAAGTGATCTGCTTGCCTCAGCCTCCCAAAGTGCTGGGATTATAGGTGTGAGCCACTATGCTGGGCCTCAAGCAACACTTTTGAAAACTGACCTCAGTGAGTTACAAAGATTCAGTATTACCCAGACGCAGTGGCTCACACCTGCAATCCCAGCACTTTGGGAGGTGACACAGGCAGATCACCTGAGGTCAGGAATTCAAGACCAGCTTGGCGAACATGGTGAAACCTCATCTCTATTAAAAGTACAAAAATTAGCCAGGCATGGTGGCACATGCCTGTTATCCTGGCTACTTGGGAAGCTGAGGCAGGATAATTGCTTGAACCCAGGAGGCAGATGCTGTGGTGAGCCGAGGTTGCGCCATTGCACTCCGACCTGGCCACAAGAGCGAAACTCCATTTCAAGAAAAAAAAAAAGATTCAGTATTGCCCAGCCTGCATTCTTCGCCCATGAGGCTGCTGGGTTGGAGATCCGCTATCTAATAATTGCTCTAAAAAATCCATTTGGAAATGTTTTAAACACCTGCGTGTGTCTAGTCTGAGCTACCATGAAGCTTCTATCCTTCCTTCCCACAGTAGAGTCTCTCTCAGGTGGTTTCCAGAGACTCCCGTTCTCACTCTTGTCTCTGTCCTACAGGAAACGCCACCCTAGTGACCAGCACTACCCCGTGGGCCTCCCTGGGTCTCCCCGCCAAGACCTGTAACAACGTGTCCTTCGAGGAGAGCAGGATAGTCCTGGTCGTGGTATACAGCGCAGTGTGCACGCTGGGGATGCCAGCAAACTGCCTGACTGCGTGGCTGGCGCTGCTGCAGGTGCTGCAGGGCAACGTGCTGGCCGTCTACCTGCTCTGCCTGGCGCTCTGCGAGCTGCTCTACACCGGCACGCTGCCGCTCTGGGTCATCTATATCCGCAACCAGCACCGCTGGACCCTGGGCGTGCTGGCCTGCAAGGTGACCGCCTACATCTTCTTCTGCAACATCTACGTCAGCATCCTCTTCCTGTGCTGCATCTCCTGCGACCGCTTCGTGGCCGTGGTGTATGCGCTGGAGAGTCGGGGCCACCGCCGCCAGAGGACCGCCATCCTCATCTCCGCCTGCATCTTTATCCTCGTCGGTATCGTTCACTACCCGGTGTTCGAGATGGAAGACAAGGAAACCTGCTTCGACATGCTGCAGATGGACAGCACGATTGCCGGGTACTACTACGCCAGGTTCACCGTTGGCTTTGCCATCCCTCTTTCCATCATCGCCTTCACCAACCACCGGATTTTCAGGAGCATCAAGCAGAGCATGGGCTTAAGCGCCGCCCAGAAGGCCAAAGTGAAGAACTCGGCCATCGCGGTGGTTGTCATCTTCCTGGTCTGCTTCGCCCCGTACCACCTGGTTCTCCTCGTCAAAGCCGCTGCCTTTTCCTACTACAGGGGAGACAGGAACGCTGTGTGTGGCTTGGAGGAAAGGCTGTACACAGCCTCTGTGGTGTTTCTGTGCCTGTCTACGGTGAACAGCGTGGCTGACCCCATTATCTACGTGCTGGCCACGGACCATTCCCGCCAAGAAGTGTCCAGAATCCATAAGGGGTGGAAACACTGGTCCGTGAGGACAGACATCACCAGGCTCACCCACACCAGGGACATCGAGGAGCTGCAGTCGCCCATGGCCCTTGCAGACAACTATACCTTCTCCAGGCCCGTGCACCCACCAGGGTCACCAAGCCCCACAAAGAAGCTGATTGAGGAGTCCTGCTGAGCCCACTGTGTGGCAGTGGGGGATGGCAGGTTGGGGGTCCTGGGCCAGCAGTGTGGCTCCTGTCCACTAAGCCCACCAGCCACAGTGCCCATGTCCCCTCTGGAAGACAAACTACCAATTTCTTGTTCCTGAAGCCACTCCCTCCACGACCTCTGGCCCCAGGCTTTCCCACATGGAGGTGGCTGCATGCCAAGGGGAGGAGCGATACCTCCAGGCTGCCGGGAACCCAGATCGCGTGTGGCAGGCAGTGGGGCCTCTTCATCAGCAGCCCTCCTGGCTGGCTCCCTTGGCTGTGGGCAGGGAACAGGGCTGCGGGCAGAGGTACCTGGTGGCTGCCCTGTTCGCATCAGTGGTGATGACTTTATTTGCAGGGCATTTCTGCAAGCATTGCTCGGATGCAGTGGCACATTGTGGGCCCTCTGGGCTCCTGCCTCAGAACATCAGTGGGCACCATGCTGGGGGTCACCCAGCACCGTGGCAGCGCCCAGCAGGGCATAGGGCAGCCTACCACCTCCAAGGGGGCAGGAGTCCTCATCTGGGGTTGGGTCTGTGCTGAGCTGAAGGGCCTCTAGGCAGATGTGGGGCAGGGTGGCCAGCTGCTCCAGCTCCCAGAGGGCAGCCCAGACATCCTCAAGCGGGAGCCCCAAATGTCCACGCCCAGAATGACAGTTGGCAGGACAGGCATGACACAGCCATGTCAGAGGCAAGGGGTGCCAGGAGTCCCCAGCCACATCCTTGGGGAGAAGTTGGTGAGGGGTCCGCACAGGATGGGGCCCCCACCCCCAGCACGTTACCGAGGCGAGAGTGCAGCAGCTGGCCTGCTTGTCTGGTGGAGAAAGCCAGCTCCCTGCACCCTCGGGCCAAGTCAGATCTGGGTCTGCCCCGAAGGCCTTGCCTAGGCCAGGTCACACTTATGCCCTGGTTTCCCCATCTGTAAAATGGGGCCAATGACACCTACCTCACTGGGTCACCATCGAGATCAATCCTCCTCCCTGCCCTGACACCTTGGGCACATCGCGTGCACTCCGAGCACAGAGCCAGGCAGATGCAGCACCTGGACGGGGAGCCCAGCGCCCAGCACAGCGTGGGGCTTCCAGGGAGGTGGTGCGGGGCGGTGGGGCTGAGCCACGCTCTCGTTTTGTCAGGCAGCTATGCAGTTGCTCTTCCTTGTTTTGTTTTTCTTGTTTTTTTAATATTTATTTTTTTAGAGACAGGACTCTGCTCTGTTGCCTGGGCTGGAGAACAGTGGCACTGTCATAGCTCACTGCAGCCTCAAACTCCTGGGCTCAAGCGATCCTCCCCCCTCAGCCTCCTGAGTAACCGGGACTTTGACAGGCATGCACCACCACACCCAGTCAAAACAGCCGTCTTCCCCTTGAGAGTCATCAGAAAAATACATTAGGAAAATGTGTTTAGAAATAAAAGCACAAGGCAGGGCGCAGTGCTCACGCCTGTCATCCCAGCACTTTGGGAGGCCGAGATGGGAGGAGCACTTGAGGCCAGGAGTTTGAGACCAGCCTGGGCAACATGGCAAAACCTTGTCTCTTTTTTGGTATATAAAATAAATAAATAAATAAAAGAAATAATGCATTTTAACCTTTACAGTTAACATTTCTCCTGCTGTGAGAGGAGTGTGCCCCTGGGCTCCCACGACAGCCATGACCAGGGACTTGAAAAGTTGGGGCTGAGGTTCTGGACCAGTCTGGAATATTCAGGGCTGGGGCGAGAGGGACCATAACGATGTCCAGCCGGGGCTTTCCTGTGGCTGCTATAACCAGTTCCCACAAGTTGGTGGCTTAAAACAACAAACCGGGCTGGGCACCGTGGCTCACACCTATAATCCCAGCACTTTGGGAGGCCGAGGTGGGCAGATCACCTGAGGTCAGGAGTTTGAGACTAGCCTGGCCAACATGATGAAACCCCATCTCTACCAAAAATACCAAAAAAAAATTATCTGGGTGTGGTGGCACACACCTGTAATCCCAGCTACTCCGGAGGCTGAGACAGGAGAATCGCTTGAACCCAGGAGGCAGAGGTTGCAGTGAGCCACGATCGCACCATTACACTCCAGCCTGGGTAACAAGAGCAAAATTGCTTCTCAAAAAACAAAACAAAACAAAAATGGTTCTCTCACAGCTCTGAAGGCCAGAGTACACTTTTTCATCTTTTGCTGCCACAGAGCAACAAATAAGAGCCTCACTTCCACGCCAGATCCCAGCCTTGGAGACCGGGCACCGTCTCACCCACTGGTAGGGATAGCAGGGCTGGGCTGAGATACCCAGAGTACCTGGCTCAGGTGAGGGACTGCCTGAACTGGCTGCTGTCACAGTGGCAGGACAGTCACCAGGCATAGCCAGGTGAGGTGGTACCTGCAGCCCCAGCTGTTCAGGAGGCTGAGGTGGGAGGATCATTTGAGCCTGGGAGGTGGAGGCTGCGGTGAGCTAGGACTGCGCCACTGCCACACGGGGAGGCCAGGAGACAAAGGCCCAATGAGACCTGGGGGTGACACCTCCGTGGGGGTTTCAGAGGGCTCCTGGGAGCAATGTCTGCGGCGAAATTTCAAAATGGACCCCGGGCCTGCGGGACCCACAACAGTCACGGTCAGGTGGAGAAACTCTGTACAAAGACAAACCACTCAGGGTGAAACCCGGGGGGCGGGGCTTACCTGACGGGAGGGGCAGCTACGGCGACCTTGCCCAGGGTGAGGCCCAGATGGGACCAGGCACCCAGGAAGGGGGGCCCAGCCCAGCCCTTAATGCTGAGACCCTCGAGGGCTGTGGGCAGAGGGCAGCAGGCTGAGTCCCTGCAGGACAGGTGCAGCTGGGGAGGTGGAGGTTACGGGCCTGCCTCGCTGCTCACCACCCAGTGTCTGCTCACCACCCTGTGTCTGCTCACCGCCCCGTGTCTGCTCTCTGCCCCTCATCTGCTCTGGCAGTGAGAGAGGGTCACGGCATGGCTTTGTCATCAGTCACTGACCGCTGACCACAGGCCCTGGCCCTGTCATCCGGCTTGTCCTGCTGGTGGGAGCTTCTGAGGTCGCCAGCGCTAGGACCCGCCCTGTGTGGAGTCTGCACTCACTCACTATCTCTCTCACCATCTACCCCTTCCTTCACTCCGCTTGCCCTCATTCAGGCACCCCCCCCACAAGGTGCTCCTGGGGCACCCCAGGTAGTGAGGAAGCCACAGTAAAGGCCACTGTGACCCACGCAGGGAGGTGGGAATGAGGAGAGGGAGCCCCGAGGGCCACCCCTGCCTCCAGCACCATGCCCTGCCCTCCAAGCTTGAGCCACAGTTGCCTCTTCAGACAGCGTCCAGGAGGGGCAGCGCTGCTCTGGTCACTGCCCTGTCGTTACCTGAGTAACAGTGACAGGGAGAGAGGACCACACGCCTCCCCGCTAGCTGGAGAGAGGCCCCTCGACCTATGGAACTGTTCTCCGAGGTCCTACTGTGACAAAGACACCTGCACACCAGCGGGAGGAGTGGTTCAGAAGCAGCACCTCGGGCTCTCCGGAAGGCACCGTGTCCCATCCACGCCTGCTCCCGTGCGACCATCCCCACTCCGCCTGGCCTGGCAGGGGCTGTGGACCCCTCGCAGTGACAGCCCAGGGAGAGGCCGCATAGGCCAGGGAGGCACGGAGAGTTTTGTTGGGAATTCTGGGATCCTACTGCCTGGAGTTGGTGCAGGGGAGCATAGCCCGAGGAGACCACATCCTGGTGGCCCTGTAGCCGCCTGGCCTGCGGGAGGGACATGCCTGGAAGGGATAGCATGAGGGGGGACCACATATGGGGGACTCTTTTTTCTTTTGAGACAGTCTTGCTCTGTCACCCAGGCTGAAGTGTCGTGGCATGATAGCTCACGGCAGCCTCCACCTCCTGGTCCCTGAATAGCTGGGACCACAGGTGTGCACCACCACACCCAGCTGGTTTTTGTTTGTTTGTTTGTTTGTTTGTACAGACAGGGTTTTACCACATTGCCCAGGCTGGTCTTGAACTTCTGGACTCAAGCAATCTGCCTGCCTCAGCCTCCCAAAGTGCTGGGAGGGATTACAGTCATAAGCCACCACACCCATCCTTTTTTTTTTTTTTTTTTGAGACAGAGTCTTGCTCTGTCACCCAGGCTGGAATTGAGTGCAGTGGCGCAAGCTCAGCTCACTGCAGCCTCTGCCTCCTGGGTTCAAGCGATCTTCCCACCTCAGCCTCCTGAGTAGCTGGGATCACAGGCGTGTGATCTCTCTCTCTCTCTCTCTCTCTCTCACCATCTACCCCTTGCTGGGCACCATGCCCAGCTGCCCAGCTAATTTTTAAATTTTCTGTAGGGACAGGGTCTCACTATGTTGCCCAGATTGGTCTTGAACTCCTGGCCTCAAGCAATCCGCCCGCCTTGGCCTCCCAAGGTGCTGGGATCGCAGAAGTGAGCCACCCCCAGTCCTAGCAGTGCTCTTGAGTAATGAACGTGTGAATGAGAGCACACTGAATGGTCGCGTGGGGCGGCCACCCTCCTGAGGGACAGCACACTATGGACAGGTGATTCCACCACTTCGTGTCTCCTTTCTTCATCCGTAATTTGGGAATGGTGACAGTGACTGTCCCACAGGCCTGGTGGGGTATTAATTCAGATAATACACGTCCCACACCTCAGATGAGCCTGGCACAAAGCAGCGCTCAAAAACACAGTTAGACCTTCACTTAACTTCCTAACTTCCTCCTTGGTTTGCCCCAGGATCCTGCCGGGAAAGACGGTCTTTGATGAAAGGTCCGCCTGTTCCCAAGAGCGGCCCTAGAGGGCGCCCAGGCAGCGGGGCTTGAATGGACCGGGCGGGTTTCGCTTTCCCGCGAGTAGCCGCCCGCGGCCGCCAGGGGGCAGCAGCTGCAAAGGGCGCCCGAGGGCAGCCGGGCCGCGCCTGTGGCCACGCAGTGCAGAGGCGGCCCCATCCGAGCGCTCGGGCGGCGGGCGCGGAGCCGGAGCAGTGCCCCCGCCCCCGCGGACCCTTCACAGGCGGAACATTTTGCACATTCTTCCAGACCTTTCCTAAATCCTCACCTGCCTGTACAGGCACTCGCGGAAAATACGTGATACTGCCTTGTGTGTATGCATTTATCCAGCTTTTTATTTTGAAATAATTCCCAATTTGGGGGCCGGGCGCGGTGGCTCACGCCTGTAATTCCCGCACTTTGGGGGACCGACGTGGGCGGATCACGAGGTCAGGAGATCGAGACCATCCTGGCCAACATGATGAAACCCCATCTCTACTAAAAATACGAAAAAATTAGCTGGGCGTGGTGGCGGGTGCCTGTAATCCCAGCTACTCAGGAGGCTGAGGCGGGGAATCGCTTGAACCAGGAAGTTGGAGGTGCAGTGAGACTCCGTCTCAAAAACAAAAACAAACAAACAAACAAAAAATCCCAATTTACAGAAAGTGGCAAACACCGTGCAAAGAAACCTGGATATTCCTGTCCTGCAGATTCTCCAGCTGTGAACATTGCCCGACTATTCCTTCTCTCGCTCCTGTTTCTGTGCCATTTAAGAATAAGCTGCAGACTCCAGGCTTGCTCCCCTGAACAGCTCAGAGAGTATTTTGGAAATAAACGAACTCTCTCCCAAGTAATTGCAGTGAACCTTGAAAAATCAGGAAGCCTTGGCCGGGCGTGGTGGCTCAAGCCTGTAATCCCAGCACTTTGGGAGGCCGAGACGGGCGGATCACGAGGTCAGGAGATCGAGACCACCCTGGCTAACACGGTGAAACCCCGTCTCTACTAAAAATACAAAAAAAAAATTAGCCGGGCGAGGTGGCGGGCGCCTGTAGTCCCAGCTACTCGGGAGGCTGAGGCAGGAGAATGGCGTAAACCCGGGAGGCGGAGCTTGCAGTGAGCTGAGATCCGGCCACTGCACTCCAGCCCGGGCTACAGAGCGAGACTCCGTCTCAAAAAAAAAAAAAAAAAAAAGAAAAATCAGGAAGCCACCACTGATCCAATGTCTCCATCGACTCCGCAGAGCCCCTGCCAATTTCCCCGCTGCCTCAATGAGTCTGTGGATCTCATGGGTCTTTGTGGGACGGCCCTCTCTCTAGCCTTGTCTGTTTCCTGTGGCTTCTTCATTTCCAGGAGGAACCCCTCAGAAGTGAGACTTTCCTCTTATAGCATCCTACCGAAGGCCGGGGCCAATCTGGCCATCACTGGTGATGATAACCCTCATCACTTGGGTACGATGGTGTCTGCCACCATTCCCCACTGAAAAGTTAATTAGTAAGCATTTTGCATTCATTAATGAATAACCAATTATTACACCGTTTCTGGGGAGAGAATGTGAGGTTTCCACTATGAGGTCAGGCTTACCCTTCTCTCTCATGTATGTATGTGCAGGTCTCTGTCCATTTTGTCTTGCTATAAAAGACTACTTGAGACTGCATAATTTATAAGAAAAAAAAGAAGTTTACTTAGCTCACAGTTTTGCAGGCTGAGAAGTTCAAGGGCATGGCCCTGGTGAGGACTTTCATTCTGTGTCACAAAATGGTAGAGAAGGCAGGGCACCGTTGCTCACGCCTGTAATCCCAGCACTTTGGGAGGCCGAGGCGGGTGGATCACCTGAGGTTGGGAGTTCAA